AGGAGAATGGAGGAGAAGGGATTGCGGCATGACCATCCCCCCTGGGGGGTGATTTCTCGCTTTCTGTCTCTCTGTCTCTCTCTCTGTCTGTCTGGCGAGCGCACGCGCCCTACAGTGAAAATCTCTCCAATAAATAAATAAATAAATAAATAAAATAAATTAATGAATAAATAAAATTAAATAAAGTAAATCTTAAAAAACAATTCTCTAAATTATATTATGTTGGCACATTAATAAGAGAATATCGATAAATGGTAAAAACTATCACTTATAGAGTACTTACTATATGTCGAATACTTTATACATATATTTACATTTTGTACATTACAAAAGCCTATGCAATAACTATTAGTTCTATTTTACAAGCAAAGAAACTATGGTGAGGAAGTTCATATAACTTATCCAAAGTAATACATCTAGTGGAACTAAAATTCAAACCCAGGTTTGTGCACCTTGGAAGCCTATGCTCCTTACTGCCACTGTACACTGCCTCCCAGTTCTTATCTGGTAAATATAAAAGTACATCAAACAGTCAATGGAAAACGGAATTAGTGCTTATTTCAACGCAAAAAAAAAAAAAAAATTGAAATTCATGCATAGTTTTTTCATGCTATGCATTTCCCATGAACTTTTGAAGACCCCTATTTATCCTTGCCTTCAGTTCTAAGACCATTATAGACATATATCCATACTTATTTAAACCTATTACTAACTATATTCGTTAATCTGTCACTTCTGTAGTAAAATCATTAAGAAGTTCCTGAAGAATTCCATTAGAAAAATTCAAATAAAGTGGGGCTAGCAGGTGGCATAGTGGTTAAAGGCATGGGACTCCCACATGGTTGATCAAGGTTTGAGTTCCAGACCTGGCAGCTTGCTTTGTCACTCTCTCTCCCTCTCTCTGTCTCTCTCTGGTCAAATTGAAAAAAAGAAAAAAAATCATAATAATTAACAAAGTTAAATAAAATAATTCTAAAAAAGAAAAATTCAAATAAAGCAATACATTTCAAATAATTCTGAGAAGGAAAAAACAGATCATTCACAACGAAACTTTTTCCTTGCTTATAAGTTGTTTTTTTGTTTTTTTTTTTTAACAATTATTCAATCTGGGGACCAGCAGTTAGCGTAATGGCTATGTCACTGGACTCCCATGTAGTCGACCACGGTTCAAGTCCCAGACCCAGTGGCTTAAACTCACGGTGGGCGCGTGTGTATGCGTGCCCAAGACCCCGAGAAAAGAAGGGAGGAGAAAGGATTGTGGCGTGGTTATTCCCCCTGGGGGGTATTTCTCACTTTCTGTCTCTCTGTCTCTGGCTGTCTAGCGAGCGCACATGCCCTATAGCAAACACCTCTCCAGAAAAAAATTTTAAAAAAAGAATTATTTAATTTTATTTGTTTATTATTGTTATTCCATTTGACCAGAAAGAGACAGAGAAAGTGAGAAAGCAAGCCACTAGATCTGGGACTTGAACCATGGTTAGCCATGTCAGAGTCCGGTATCCCAACCACCATGCCACCTGCCGGCTCCAATTGCTTAGAAGTTATTCTTACATTGATTTGAACATAGTAAGGCCAGGAAATCATTACAAGTATTTAAGAAAATTCAAATACTATATACCTAAAAGCTGAATAAAAGAATTCATTTTTTAAAAAACACATATTTAATACTTAATAACTGAACTGGAATAATATCATTATATTCTACTACATTTTTTTATTAGCCAAATAACAGAAGAGATGTAATTATAACTCCGATAATTTACAATTTCCAAATGGGTAATTATCTCCCATGTTCCAGTGTTTCACATTCCTTTATAAAAAGTATGTCTAAAAGAGTAAGTCAATATTCTCCAAGCATAAAATCTTCAATCTATTTAAAATTTAAACAAAAAAATATTGAAATTTTTTATATATAAGATAGTTACCAAAAGCAATTCTTTCTTGTTCGTTATCAAACACATTCATTACATTTGTTAAGAGCAATAGAAGAGTTATTTTCTAAGATGTGGCAAAGAATGGATCAAGTCTTACCTCCATTGCTAAAGCTGCTGTCTGTTGGTCATAATGATTCAGAAGATTAGGCATGAAGGTAGTATTATAAGGCAAATCTTGGCACATCCTCAAGGTAATAGGTTCACAAGAAAACAAACTGTGCCCACCTGTATGTCCTACAAACAGAGTCAAGAGCCAAAGACAGAAGACGATCCAACTCTTAGCCATCCTTCTTGGATCTCAGTAACATTCGGATGCCCAGGCCTACTCAACACGTATTTCAGATCTTTACACACAGGCAGGCCTTGGCTTGAGAGTACTACTTCTTCTGTATCTTACTGTGAAGTTCTTCAAACAGTTAAATACTCTTTGCACTGTCAGAGGTTTGTTAGCTTGGTCTCACAAAAGGCATTTGTTTTTGGTTTCACAATATGGGAAAATGACATCATCTTGTCTCTTCTTTTCATTTTATTACACAGGGCACATTTGGCCAATATATCAAGTTGATCAACCACATTCCCAAACCACAGATTCCATCTTAGGAGATGAGTTTTTCTTCCTTTGACTAAAATATCTGAAAAGTATTATTTAAGAAAAATGAGAGAAATCAGTCACTTGCTTTCACAACATTACAGACTTATTATTAAAATCTTTGATGAGAGACACCCCACTGAACTAATAGATAAAAATACATGGGTACTACAAAATGATACAGTTTTTCTATTTTATCATTTATGCTAAAGATACACTAAAACAATCAAGGGGCACTTAAAGGCGAATTTAATGTTCTCCCTTAGTTACTTATGTAACACATGGTTTGACTTGTCTATAATGGCAATTCTTCATTTGTCACAAGCTTAGAACTCAAGATCTAGAATCAAGTTTAGCCTATAAAAGGAAAGAAACTGTCCGTGCATTAACTACCAATGACTGTGACCTCTGCCTCCTAAGCTTCAGCTACATGGCACAAAACTATATGGAGAAAGTACTAAGTGTTTTCAAAGTTTCTGGAAAATACAAATTATGAAAAAACCATGCATGGATTTCAAACATTTTTGCACCAAATAACCTAATATGAGTCAGCCAATGGCATGGCTAAGGTATCTAGATCCAGATGGCCAACTTGAAGTCCCATGCAGTTCAAGTCCCAGACCAGGCAGCTTGAAAAACATGCTTACTGTATGTGAATATGTGCTCAAAGAAGGAAGAAATGGAGAAAGGATTGTGGCGTAACTGTTCCCTATAGGGGTGGCTTTCTTACTTTCCTTCTCTCTCTCTCTCTCCAGAAGTGTACGTACCCTCTGACAAATTGTAAGTAAATACACTCATACTATAATTAAATTTTTCCACAAACCTTAAGTCCTCTCATAGAACTGAGATCAATTAGCTGATCTTCCCAATTTCTCCCTCTAATAGATGAATTTGAATGGCAGCAGAGAGGACCAGCAGATAGCATAATAGCTATGTCGCTGGACTGCCATGTAGTCAACAGCGGTTCGAGTCCTGGACCTGGTGGCTTAAACTCATGCCAGGCGCATGCACGTGTGTGCCCAAGATCCCAAAAGGAGAATGGAGAAGGGATAGTGGTGTGGCCATCCCCCCTGAGGGGTGATTTCTAACTTTCTGTCTCTCTGTCTTTCTGGCGAGCGCATGCGCCTTATAGCAAAAACCTCTCAAAAAAAAAAAAAAAAATGAATGGCAGCAGGGAAAAGGAAAGTCAGTGGTTTCTAAAATTAGGAACACTGAGGTCATGAGCAATCCCTGCACAAAAAGCCCAAATCTCCACATCAGAGATTTCTGTGCCAGCTTCTTCGCCTGCTGAATTTTTTTTCCACCTTTGGGTTGGCCCAGAAATGTTGAGGTCTGTCTATACAAAACTGATATTAAACATAGTTGAAAACATATTTAAGCTTAATTACTGTACAGTGCAGTAACAATTGTACATATGATTAAGTATGTGTCAAACAACTGTTGAAAGCTTTATTTGATTATGGTATTAAAACACCCATGTAGACTCAGTCTTTGTAGATTGCTGCTTATGCAGCAAGTTCATTTGCTTACAACTGAAAAAAGTTAAAGAGTACATTGCTCCCTATTGACTATGTCTATCATAATATTAAGAATTACAAAAATTTAATTTAGCTAACCTATTTTTCAAGCAATTATGGATTTCAAATTTATAGTTCAAAGACTACCATACAATACTTGGGGAAGAGAGGCTAAAAGGTAGTGTAATGGTTAGGATGCTGTACTCTCACATGGCTCAATGAGGTTCGAGTCCCAGACCAGGCAGTTGAAAATTATGCTAGGTGTATGCGCCTGCATGCCCAGAATCCCAAGAGGAGAATGGAGAAAGACTGTGGCTTGGCCCTAGCAGGTGATTTCTCACTTTCCCTTTCTCTGTCTCTCTCTGGCAAGCATATATACCCCATGACAAAAGCTGAAACAAAAACAAAAAACAAAGACACACAATAGAAAAGAGGGTATGTGTGGGGCCGGCAGGTGGCCAAGTGGTCAAAGCACTGGACTCCCACATGGCTGACAGCAATTTGAGTCCTGAATCTGGCAGCTTGCTTGCTCGCTTTCCCTTTCTCTCTCTCTCAGGTCAAATTTCAAAAAAATAATAGGAACTAGCAGTTAGCGTAATGGCTATGTCGCTGGACTCTCATGTAGTCGACTGCGGTTCGCATCCCAGACCCAGCCGCTTAAAACTCACACCGGGCGCATGTGCACACGTGCCCAAGATTCTGAGAGGAGAATGGAGGAGAAGGGATTGCAGCATGGTCATCCCCCCCCCGCCCGCGTGGGGGGGGGGTGATTTCTCGCTTTCTCTCTCTCTGTCTCTCTCTGTCTTTCTGGTGAGCACACGTGCCCTATAGCAAAAACCTCTTCCAAAATAAAAAATAATAATAATAACAAATGAATTAAATAAATAATTCTTTAAAAAAAATAGCGTATGTGTAAACAAACATTTTCAACATTTTCACATTTTCAAATACTATTAATGGGAGTATACACTAGTTGGTCCAACTTGAAAATAGTCACTTATATAAAAAGTCCTTAAGAATGTACACAATTTGATCCAGATCTATTCTATAATTTATTCTAAGAAAATAAACACTCAAATATACATAGGACATAACCAAAATATTAGTGTAACATTATTTGTAACAATAAAAAAAACTGAAAACCTTAAGTTCCACCAATAAACAACTAGTTAAACAAATTATGGTACAATCTCATAAGGGAACATTACATAGTTATAAAATGATGAAGGTAAATCTGCATTTACTGACATGGCAAAACGGTAACAATGAAATAACTAAAAGTTCAAGTTTATAAAACTGGTATGTGGGGCCAGCAGATGGTGTGGCTGGTTTAAGCGCTGGACTCCCACATGGCCAATCACAGTTTGGGTCGTGGATCTGGTGGCTTACTTTCTCAATTTCCTGTCTTTCTCTCTCTAGTGAGCATATGTGCTCTATGGCAAAATTAAATTAATAATAATAATGATGATGATTAATAAATTAAATAATTTTTTAAAAATAAATAAAATACAGGTATATATTTTCCACACTGAAACAAAAAATCTAATCATCCATCAACTGAATCAAATGGTATGCACATTTAAAATTTTTTGATACACATTCCTAATTGCTTTTCTTTTTTTAAAAAAAAAAGAATTATTTTAGTTAACTTTATTTATTTTGAACAGAGAGGGACAGAATGAGAGACAGATAGAGAAGGAAAGTGAGAAAGTGAGAAAGCAAGCCACCAGGTCTGGGACTCCAACTGTAGTTGGCCACAGTAGGAGCCCAGCACCCTTACCATGATGCCACCTGCTGGCCCCCTCAATTGGTTTTCAATAACATAAATATCTGGGGCCACCCCTTGGCATGGTAGAAAAGGCAGCTGGATCCCACATGGCTGACCACACAGTTCAAATCCCAGTCCAGAGACTTAAGAAACACACCAGGTGTGTGCATGCACGTCCAAGATCCCCAAAGGAGGGAGAAAGGATTGAGGAGTGACTATTCCTCACAGGGGATGTTTTCTCACTTTCCTCCTGTATCTGTCTCTCTTTGGGGAATGTATGCACCCTCTGGCAAAATTTTTTTTAAAATATTAAAAAAAAAGAAATATCTGCTCCTATTAGGATCATGTGAGTGTGTCATTTTTTCCTAAGGTAGGGTCATCCATGGAAAAGTCGTAGGTTGATGTCTCAGACTTGCAGGACAAAAAGAAGGTTCTGGACCAGAGATTCTGCCAAAACACTGTAAATAAAGGTTAATAACTGTTTTCTGCATTCTTATTGATATTACCATGTTTTTTTAAAAAACTTATCTTATTTGGCTTTAACTAATTGATTGATTGATTAATTTACTTTAATTTGACCAGAAAGGGACAGAATGAGAGAGAAGAAAAGTGAGAAAGTAAGCCACCAGGTTTGGGTCTTGAACCGCTGTCGACCATGTGGGAGTCCAGCGCCCTTAACCACCACATCATCTGCCGGCCCCAATATTACCACGTTTTCTACTACAGAAACCCATGGTACTTCAATTGAATAAAGGAACCTCCTGAGTTAACACAACTGGAACGAGAGCTTCAGGAGTTAGGGCCCAACCAAAAGTGAGTGCTATAGGAACAGTTATTCATGTCCTACCTGAGGGAAAAAGAGTCATAGTCTCTTCTCCACAGAGCAATATCAAAGACGGTATTTGAAAAGCTGATTTCAGGGACCAGCAGTTAGCGTAATGGTTATGTCGCTGGACTCCCACGTAGTCGACCAAGGTTCGAATCCCAGACCCAGTGGCTTAAACTCACGCTGGGCGTGTGTGCATGCATGCCCAAGTTCTCGAGAGGAGAATGGAGGAGAAGGGATTGCCGCGTGGCCATCCCCCCTGGGGGGGTGATTTCTCGCTTTCTATCTCTCTGTCTCTCTGGCAAGCGCACATGCCCTATAGCAAAAACCTCTCCAAAAAAATTAAATAAATAAAGAAGAAAAGCTGATTTCAGATTAAGTTAACTAGTTAACACTCTACTGGAAAACAAAAAAGGCTGGATTCTTTTATACCTATATATTTCTACTTCTATGAATGTATAACACCATGAATCTGATATATATACATATATAGCTCAATTATTATTTATCAGTTTTCTTTAGATAAAAAAATAAAAGCCCTTAAATTAAAATCAGCTAGGAATTTGTCCTAAAAGACAATAACAAAGGAGGGCATGCCACCATGGAAGACTTGTCATCGCAGGGTGGCTACAAAGGCAAACCCAAAGAACTCAGAGGAAACAAGCAGGAGGTGGCAACTGAAGAGAAAACAGGGTGACTCTCAGAAGAAATGATGAGTAAAGTGGGCCCTAAGGGCTTGTCAAAGGGTCCTGCAATGGAAGATTATGTTCAGCAATTCTATTCCAATTTATACTTTATCTACAGAAAGGGATCCATTTTACCATGCTCCGTTTAGATTTAATTTTCCTGGCATCCTATAAAAGCAGGTAACATTTTGCATTTCCAATTCAAAATACCACCTAAAGGTTGCCTCAAAATACATGCAGGATGTGTAATGGCTACAACAGGAATTTCTTTGTCCTCTTTCAGACACATTTTTCAAGAATGCATTGCAAGGATTAGCAATGATTACCTCCTCTAAGTAACACAGCTTCTTCTCTCAAGGAAATTATTATGTTAGAGAGACAAAATACACACTCAAAGTATACTCATTCCTTCAGGGAGTGTTACTTTCCTTTTCCTAAAGCCCATATGGTCTTTTGGCCTTTTGATGTCCATATATATGTATTTTTTTAATTCATTTTCAAAATATTGCCTCCTAGTTGCTAAAAGAAAGTTTACATAGCTTCATGTTTAATTCAGAAGCTAGATTTTTACTAATCTCAGAGTATCTTTTCTGACCTTTCCGACTTCATCTTTTTTTGTTTGTTCGTTTTTGTTGTTGTTGTTTTAGTTTTGCTATACGGCACATGCTGGCTAAGAGAGAAAGTGAGAAATGCTCTCTCCTGGGGAGATGGACACGCCACAGTCCCTTCTCTTTCATTCTCTCGCAGGATTTTGGGCACACCCACACATGAACTCAGCGTGTTTCTCAAGCCACCAGGTCCAGGATCCAGCCACCTTCACTACCACACCACTGGCTGGCCCCATCACTCTTATTTTTTAAATCTCTACTTTCTCTTCTTAATTTTTAAATTCAGTCTTGTCAGCTACTGATTACAACAAATAATGTAATCTTTCAGTGTACTGAGTGATAAGGCTTAAAAAAAGTATACAAGAAAAAACCAATACATTTAGGTGCAAAATTAAAATGAGCAGTAGGAATTAAAATTGAGTCCAATTTACAAATTCTTAATTACTAAAACTAAAGAAAGCAGAAAATCTTTAAAAATCAATCTGAATATAGAACTGGAAAATAAAAACTGGATAGATTCCAGACCAAGAAAAGTCAGGCTAAAATTCCAGCCCAGCTTTCCTTTCCAATTAAAATTTGTTCATAAAAAAAACAGTATAAAGTTAAAGCATTGGACTCCCACATGGCCAACCAAGGTTCAAGTCAACAGACCCGGCAGCTTGAAACTCAAGTGGGGTGTTGTGCCTAAGCATCCAAAAACCTGAGAGGATGATGGAGAAGGGATTGTAGTGTGGCCATTCCCCCTGGGGGGTGATATCTCACTTTCCCTCTCTCTGTCTCTCTTGGAGTCTGGCAAGCGCACATGCCCTATAGCAAAAATCTCACTCTGAAAAAAAAACAAATTGTCTATTATCAAGCTCCTGCTTTTCTCCTCTTATCAAGGTTGTAGGCTGTATGGTTTGTACTCGTTGACTATAGAATTATTTCAGTGAGATAAATCTGGGGACTGGGATATGAATTATTTCAATAAGATAAGATTTGGGGACTTTTTTTTTTAAGCCCAGGAGCCTATCTATATTCATCTTAAACTTTGTTCACACACACACACACAAAACTTTTGTTCACAATGCATTGCTCAGATCCATCAAATTGTCATAGTTCTTAGCATGATGAATTGGAAAGCAAAAAGCGGAAATTCATTTTTTTACACAATAGTTACAACTCTTTTCTAGCCAGTGAACAATTATCACTTTTCAAACATTTATTCCTAGCCTATTGAAAAAGCACTACTGAAAATCACCTCATTTCTTTCCTCAAGACCCTGCTATATATATTTCCCTCAATCTATACCAAAGAATTTATCCAGTTGTATTTCTGAAGCCATTGTTTTTATTTGCCATATTGCTCTGTTTGTGCACAGCTGTGGCTTTAAAAAGGCATAATTCTAGAGTTTAGGGAGATTAAAAATACAGAACGAAACATGAACCCAGCAAGGAACTCCCTTGTAAAAGAAGGGAAAGAAGATGTGGTAAGAATTATTTCTTACTGTCTGTCTCCTAAAGTAAATGAAGTCAATATGAACCTAACATCAACAAACTAATATGATTAGAAGTTTTGAGTATAAAATCTTAAGGCTTTTACTAACAAGTTAATATGAAATATAAGTAGGGTAGATATTTTCCTTTTCGGTCAAGTGGAGAACAGACAATTCATTGTAAGCAAAAAAACTCCTCTCCCCAATGATAACGCTTTCACATTGTACCATACAAAAAAAGAATGTGTGCTTTGCTACTAAATTCTGCTCAACCTCCTCTACTTTAAGTATCTCAATCATGAAACTCTCAAGAAAAATCCACCCGAAATGTTCAAAGCACAAAATAAAGCTCAAAAGAATACAGGCGCTAAAAGGAAAGGAATGAAAGTGGCTAAGAGCCTAGGGTCCTTTCTTCTTCTTTTATTAATGGGGCCCTCTTACAGATTTTAGGAGAGAGATGGAGATAGATTTTAGTAGTGGATGAGGAAAAAAAGAAGTAGGAGGAAAGAGGGTCAAAAGGCAGATTTTATCAATCATCTACATGTTTTCCTAATAGTTTCAAAGCATTTATGGGGTGGGAGAGCAGGTTACTTCACTAAACATAACACAACGGATTAAGAGAAGCGCTTTCCTGGTTTTATCTTCAGCTCTGTCCTTCCAAGTCCACTCAGTCAAGCTTTTACACTCGTTTCTGATGCTCCCTAACTCTGAATCTTTTTATCTTGATGTTGTGGTTTGGTAGTTCAAGTAGGTGCATTATTTTTCCCCTGGAGAAAAAAATATAGTCTTGATTTGCTTAAAAGATGGCAAGTGTTATCTCCAGGAGTAACTGCTTCTTATTAACACTACTGCTTTTCAGCCTTATGGCTAAAATCGTGTGTAATAACAGAACTTGGTCTTTACCTACCCCTTTCCAGCCTACAATGCAAAGCAAGGTGACCAGCACTCCAAGAGCTAAAGGATGAAGAGGGAGGCAACATCCCCAGGGTCAGCGAGGTCTTTTGTTTCCTTGCTCCTATGGTACTGGCTTTGCAAAGGAACCCTATCCCAATAAACATTGCAGGTGCATCAAAACTACTTTTCTGAAATGAGATTTTGTTTTGAATACTTTTCCATGGGAGTCTCTGCTCTGCGGCTGCATCTACCTAAATTCAGAGGGGACCCAGAATTAAATTTTTCATTTTACGCTGGGCAAAAAAAAAAAAAAAAAACTGGACTTCTTTTACGGGGTAGATATTTTTAAAAGGTAGTCTATGCCTCTACCTAAATTAATAGCGTTTGCTTTTATTCTTTAGCTAGAAAAAAGGGGGGAGGGAACCCTCTTTCTTTTACCGGAAAGGCATCTCCTTCTAAGACCCCTAAGAAAAAGCGTCCAGGAAGCTGTTTACATTTCTTGAAATGACACAAGACTCCTTCACGTTGCTTGATATTAACAGCGCCTTTATTTCAGAGGGTATTCATGACCCAGCAGCCCCCACCCCCACAGCAAACGCACCCTAGAAGAACAGGGAGCAGAAAGACTTTGCAAACTGATGGGCTGGAGGGGACAACTTTTAGGCAGGGACAGAAAAGGTCGGCCCAATGCTGAAATGAGCCGGGCCAGGGGAGGCAGCTCGCGCGCGTCTCGGGCGGCCCGGCAGCCGGGCGGCGCGGGAGCCCTCGGTGCATTGTCCTCCCACCTACGCCCCCGCGGCGCCGGGCGCCGGAGCCGGCTCGGCCCGGGCCCCTCTCCT